TGTGTGTCCTTGTTTTAGGATGGAGCTGTAGTTCCACCCTCCAGACCTTTTGGTGATACCCTAACTGTAATTGAGGCAGAAGCAGATCCTGGAGATGGACTGGGCAAGACTGACTGGAGCAGTGGAGAGACATCTAGGCCCAGTAGTGACAGTGCAGATGTAAGCATCAGGTGTTCTTAATCTTTATCTTCTTGTGTTTTTTCCTTTAAGCCCCTTTCTTGATTTGATTTTAAGTTATGTGAATTAGAGATGTTGTCTTTTTACTTGCTTTTTACCATCCCAGTCTTTAGTACCTCATTTAGTAAACAGAAATTCTGGGTGCTGTTGTATATGAGCTTTTAATTCCACAATTCACTTTTTCCCTTAGACATTCATTGGCAAATGTTTCTTTTGCAGGAATGGAATTTCCCAGCCGGTGTCTTGTTTGTGGGTAGAGAATTTAATAATGCCAGTGCTTTTTTTACTGAACCGAGAGGCCAACTGTTGATATCTTAAGAGCATGTTAATATTCCATTTGTGGTTAGAGTGACTCAGTCTTGAATCATGGGGCACTTTGCCATTACAAAGAGGAAAAGCCTTAGTCCTGTTCATAGACTTCATTTAATACCTCAGGTTTAGTAACAGCACTTTTCTTGATTAACTCAGAGACTACCATATAAATATGGGTATTTTTTAAGATGATAATAAAATATATTGAGTTGAATATGATGTAGTACCACAGTTACATGAATATTAAAAGCCAAGTTCAGAGTTACTCACTGAAGTAGTATGCTGTGATAGCAAGAAAAACTTAGAAATAGATCATCCTCTTTAAAGATGTTGAAGGGAAGTAGTTGGAGTCACCATTTTTGTAGCTGTGGGTCATGAAATCAAATTAGTGGATTGTGACTAGTGTTTTGTTGGGTTTTTTTTGGATATCCTTTTATTGGTACATTTTAGATGTACAACATAATGACATTCATCGTTGGAGATATGCACCTTTACATACTCTCTTGGTTCTTATTTTTCCCCCTT